TTACTTTTAGTGTTTAAAAGAATCCAGTTCACAGTTTCTGTGTCTGTAAAGCCGCCCAGCGCTTCATAAATGTGTCTTAGCCAGGGTGCCTGGTCCCCTGCGTTTGACTCCTCTTGGAATCCAGTCTGTGCAGTCTCACGCCTTTAAATTAGTTCCTTTAAAAAATATTATTTCTATTACTCAGAGCTCTTCATCCTAAACTTCATTAACATTGTGCAGAGGGACGTCATTGTGCCATGGAATTCATATTCTTAATAGTAAATAATCATGTGAAATATTAACAGTTGCTCGTAGCTTGACAATCACATCTCAGGGTAACACTGTAACAGTTCCTGTTTCTATTGCACTATTGTAATTTGAGTTCAGTGCTGACTGATTTAAATACATAAATTTTGTTTTTCTTTTATTACCTTGTTGTGTCTGAAGCTTTGGGGCGTACTAACTTCATGCTTTTACAGCTACCCCTTCCAAAGAATCCATATATCTAGAATGGCTGTACAATCCTGTAACATTCGATGCCATTTTGCACTTGCGGGAACACATGATATCCCCACCACCACTTGTAACTGAAAATTGATTTTAAAACCTTATGTGTGTGAGTAACCCCCCATCCTGCAAACATAGAAGTGCACATCTTACTCTTCTGGGACTTCATTTATTGCATACATCAATGTTGATTTTTCTACTGCATTGTTTATACTTCTAATGGCCTATTTAAAGTTCACAGCCTTTTATGGGTGCTACGTTTTTTGTTGTGATACATTTCAGGGATGTTCTTCATTATGACAAAGGTACTGATTTGTGCGGCCAAAGTCATTTTTTAAAATGAACTGTTCTGTTTCTCCTTTGCATTGGTCAAGCAGGAGGATACAGTGCTGACCTTACCTAGTTTACCTTTTGGTGAAACTAAAGTGCTTTGCCTCTTTTATGTTTTCACACTGGGATAGCTAATGCAGATTAGTTACCCCCTGGTATAAACACCCATTGTCTTAGACACAGACTATACTGCTGATTCAGATGTTAAATGACCCATTATTGTTCATGGGCTGAAAACTCTGATACTGATTGTGTGCCTGTTACTACTGCTCCTTTGCCAGGTGTTGCATTTGAATGTTCTCACCCACTTGTGGGAGCCTCTTGGAAAACAAGTTGAAGCATTTAAAACTAAAGGAACTAACAGGGGATTCCACTGCCCCCCGCACCAATTTCTCTAATTTCCTTCCCTTTACTCATTGAGGGCTTGTCTGCATGGTCTGACCCTAAAGATGTGAAGTTAATGCACCTAAGAGCTGGTCTACACTACGGAGGGATACATCTAAGTTACCCAACTTCAGCGATGTGAATAATGTAGCTGTAGTCGATGTACTTAGATCTACTTACTGTGGTGTCTTCAGTGTGGTGTGTTGACGGGAGATGCTCTGCCGTCGATTCCCCTTGCGCATCTCGTTGAGATGGAGTATCGGAGTGGATTTATCGCGTCTATACTAGACACGATAAATCGATCTCACTGGATCGATCGCTGGCTGTCGATCCAGCCGGAAGTGTAGACAAGCCCTTAGTTCAAGCGCTTTAAACCCCTGTGTGGACGCTCTCATTCAGAAGTCAGGTGGCCTTAATTTTGACAGTGGCAGTCAGGGCAACCACAGACAAGTTCAGGAGACCTTCCCCCAAATACTATTAATTATCAGGCCTTTGATCTCTTCCTGAAGAGTTTTAAAGTTTTGTGTAGTCCAGGTGTAACCCACAGTAGCTTTTCTAAGTCCAAAGAGAAGGAGCGAAGTAGTGAGTTCCAAACCCGGAGACTGATGTTCTTCCAGCCGCCCAGCCTCAGTCACACCCAGTTGCCCTCCTCCGTTTTTTGTCTCTTTCCTGGGCAAACAGGTCACCTAGCTTCCCCCTCTCTCTTTGTTCTCCAACACCTTTGCCTGGCTCCTTGCAGAGGGATGGCTTTGTCCACCACTAACCAGGATACAGAGTGTTCAGCCATTCTCTGTTCCCAGGCAGCCAATCTGCAGTCACCCCTGCTCTCTCGGGGTCTCCACAATGATCACACACCTGTATCCCACCACCTCGATGCTTGAGTAACACATTGGGGAAACTGAGGCACACACACAGTATTCCGAGAAAACATTAAGAACATCCCCCTTCGTCACACCCTGGGATATCTGTGGGCAGCTCGGCACAAGAGCATGCTCATGGCTGCTGTGTGGGAAGGGTTTGCTGATAATGCTGAGAAGTGTTTTGAAAGGAAGGAGACCCTGACGTTCTTCACATCCAATGAACCCAGGTGCTTCTGCTACATGTGGCCACATTAGAGACAGGGCTAGATTCACAATGGCACATAGGCACCCAAACCCCAGGCTAAACACCTAAAAC